AGTAAAGAGTCTTTGTAAATTAATTTGCGTTCAGCTAACATGGGATATCGGGATACCATAAGTTACAGAGTAATACCATTGAAATACGAAATCATTGTTCTTAGAGTATCCAAAATATTTAGATTAATAAAATTAATCATACGACTGTTGTTTTGTTGCTTATGTAGGATCACAAGTGAATGGGATATGAGAAAGATCGAAAACAAAAATGTCTTCCGCTCGATACGTATGTCTATATTCTTCCGCGTATGTTTCATCAATTGTCGATCGATTTGCGGATGTCTTCTTTAAACGCGCCATATTTGAACTCTCGTTTCCACACTTATATTAATATATAAAGTTCGCGTCCTTGAATATTGAAGTAATTAAGAGTTAAAAGCTGATATTGTACTAATTTTATGATTTATTAGTTTAGTAGACGTATTTATGTATTTAGAATACTCAATAATACTCGATTCTTCTTTAAAATTGTAATTTCAGTGTTATCATCAAAGTTCGATTATCAACAGAAATGATTACTGTAGAGAAAAAATTGTAATTTTTCTGCAATATATAGAATATTGTAGCTTTACAAATAATGTATATTTATTTATGAAACATCTATGTAATAAAAAATTATAAATTTAATAATGTATGAGTCAAATATTTATGTTAATAATAACAAATTTATATCAATAGTCGATAATTTCAGCATTTTTCAATTACCTTCGGGTTCTTGGGACCCCTTTTATACCGTTGAAAATTTGTTTAGGGTTGACGGTCTTTAATAGCATCTCGTCGGTGTGTGTGTGTGTGTGTGTGTGTGTATCTACCCAGGTAGCAAAGTTTGTCATTTTAACGTTAAATTCAAATCATGTACAAATGACGTCAAATAACCAAAAAGTAACCATAAGTTTTATTTGACGACATTCCGTGATGTCAGTATGACTGGCGTCATATTGACGTTATAAGTCACCAGTTGGATAGTATAATGGTCAGTAAAAGATTATGGTGCAAAAGTAGACATGGTGTGTTCGTAGCTAAGACAAGTTTGCGCATAGCAACGTGATGACCTCATTTTCCGTCGTTTTACAATATATTCGCACGGTTGTCATATGATTTGAAATGTTTAAAAAATATATTAAATATTAAAAAATATATTAAATATGAAATATTGATTATATAAAATGAAAAGTAATAAATAATAGTAAAAAAAGTAATGAATAAATAATTATTTACTAAAATCCACCGAAAAATCGTAAAAAAAAGTCAAGCTCTGATTGGCTGCAACAGATAAACATGCACAAGAACACATCACGTCTACTTGCATCATGTAAAGAACAAAGATATTTAACATGCGCAGGATGTAATCACATGAGAGTCGAGCGATCAATCAGAATTATTATCAAGTTATTCGTCACCGTTTTGTGGTAAATTCGAATGTATTATTTATCAGTATACTTATAACGCTTCTTGTAATACACTTTAATAATTACAAAAGATTAAACAAAAATTATTAAACAAAAATAAATACTAAAAAACAATATTATAAATACAAAAATATTGTAATATAAAAAAGAATACTAAAAATAAAAATCTATAATATATTCCAGAAATATATAATATTTAAGCTTCATGTGCTGTAGTTGGTCTATGAGACCACGCGAAAAAAAAACGTTATATCTGTATCTGTATGCTATATCGGTTTGAGATTAATAAAATATAGATTTATAAAATTACTGTTTTTATTTCAGTTTTTTTTAAATTAATGTCTCAGGGACTAGTCTTAGTAAAAGTGTCGTTATTTTACCTTAATGCTTAAGGGTTAAAATATTATATAAAAAATAAATTTCGAAAAAGTATAATGAATAAAGTTTAATAAATATTTCTTATTACTTACAATTAGCTAGCTCTCTAGGTTGTGAAAAGTGTATTATTTTAGTATTTTCCCTATAATTTATTTCAAATCAAAAATCGAAAACTTTTATCCATTTCGAAATTTAATTAATTATTATTTTATTATATATACTAATATTATTAATTAATATTATTATTAATATAATTAATAATTATTAATTATATTAGTAAATAAACCAAAAAACATTCATTATTTTCTTATACTGTTTACATTAGTAATATCACAAAATACAATCATAAAATTATCTATATAAATGCGCGTTATATCGCACATAATTTTGTATTTGCAAACAGCCGAGATATGAGCGTGAAACTGCCACGCACAGCGGATATTCGTCATACGTTCCTCTACGCATTGTCGTGTACACAATTTATCCGCAATTACACACTTTTAAATGCTCCGGATTGTGATTGTATTTGCGAATACTATCGGTTTCTATTTGTGTTTGAGCAAATGTTGTCAGTGAGTATAATCTATCCGCAGTTTATAATTGTGTTTCTATCCGTACCTATACGAATTTGCGTTATATCGTAATTTAGCACTTTAGTAGTTGGCACACGTACGTGATTGCGGTGCTTTTCCCAAGTGACTTACGAGGGCTCATTGCCTCTAAAAATTTCCATTAGAAACAATCAGAAACAGTCAGAAACAGATAGAACTTCTAATGAATTTTAACGGATATCCGCTTTGAAGAGAATATTCAATTCTTATACGTTTCTGTGGCAACTATTATATCTGCAAATACAGACAGAAAGAAGATTGTATATTGTAACAGAATATTTAGTCATTTTTAGTAATTAATATCTTGTTAACTATTTTGAAAATTGCAAAATAAAACTTTTTTGTTTCCCTTGATCTATTCTACGCCTCCAATGCTCCGACCTTACTTAAGAGACACCCTGTATATTGATTACTCTGAAATCGGTTGAATGTAACATCACTGTTTTGTAATGTTGGTACGATAAGAACTGACAATGAGTTATTGACAGAATCGCGTAGTCATGTCTAATCATGTCTAGTCATGCATAAATATATATTTGCAATATCGCGGCTATAATTTAGGCATTAATTATAATCTTCAATAAAAATTAAATCACCGAAATCACTTGGTTCGGAAACAAAAACACATATATTAATATCACTGCCGCACATATGTATATATGGCATACGTATATATGTATATATGCGTTTTTTGTTTCTTTAAATTGCGTTTGGAATTGTTTTTACTCGGGAGAAGACACTTGTATTTGATCTTGAAGAGAGTTTTTGATAGTTTCAAGTTCAATGATGACAATGATCTCTATGATTTAAATTTAAAAAATTTATATGTGCGAATGTGTGTGTGGTGCTTATAATTGGTTAGCTTATATTATCAAAAGTAATAATTTAATATGTTTCTAATATTACGCTATGAAATTGCAATTATAACTGAACGTGTAAGTGTGTAAATTAAACAATAAAAAAAATTAATATTGAATTTATAGAATTGTATATGTAAAAACACAACCAATAGAAAATAAATGCCTTTAATGGTCTAATTGGATCTTAGTGGAAGTACTCTCGTATGAACTTATATCTCTGCTCAAAATGTTAGATAAAACCGCATAAAAAAAAATCAGGAATGTCTCGGCATTTGAAACAGTAGTTGCGTATTAAACCGGATAAAATTTATTTTCAATACAGATGAATAATGTTTGTACTTGTTGCATTATTACACTGAGAAAAAAATTTGTTCAACAAACTAAACACATTTAGTTGTTTGCAGATTTGGTTAATTTAACAAATTTTATTTAATTGAATTTAATCGTAGTCTGTTTAACATTGAACAGTTTGTTAAGCAGTCTACGGCACATTAACAAGGTAGTGCGTTAGGTCTAAAATATTTATATATACTGATGTGTGTGTGTGTGTGTGTGTGTGTGTGTGTGTGTGTGTGTGTGTGTGTGTGTGTGTGTGCGTGCGTGCGCGCGCGCGCGATGTTAGTGATGTTAATATATGTGTTTTTAATTTCTTTATGTATATTAATAAAATGATGAATTTGTCAAAAGAGACCGATGTTAACGTACCTTCAAAAAAAGCGAGAAAAAAAAAGCAAAAGTGACTGCACGATGGGAGGTGTAACAGCTTCTCTCAAAAACAAACGCAACAAGCATTTTTATAATCAAATCATATATTATTATCATACATTGACAAATTAATTACTATCCATAATGTACGAATTGTGAATGCGAATAATGCAAGAAAAGGAAAAACAAAATATTTATGTAACATTAAAGATTATGCGTTTTGCGGGTTTTATCCTTGTCCAGATCCATTCTTGGAATGCCAACGTTTTGTGATCCTTGCAATCCGCTTCATCAGGGCGAGGAGCAGCTTAATACTCCTAGGTATCAGGCTGCCTCTCGCCCTGATGAAGTGGACTGGACACGGAGAAAACCCGCGAAACGCATAATCTTTATATAAAAAGCACCTGTGGAAGCCTCAAGAATATTTACGTAATATTGAAACCGGTTTAGCATGAATCTATTACGCAATTTCGTAATTACACGTGATGAAGAGATGATTGAGATGAATGTAATCGCAAAAGTGACGTTGTAATGTGTGTGTATTAT